TACATACATACATACATACATGTTGGTTATGTGTCTTCCTGCTCTATTTATGTATGGGCTTGGAGACGAAGGATGATGACCACTGGGAGCGGAAATCCATGGGAGCGACATCAATTTTGGTACGATGTCTCATTCTGTGCATGCTGTACAGAAAAACTCGAGATGAGCGATGCTTCACATACTTGGTCATACAGAAGTTGTCCACCGTATATTTGGCTTCCTTGACACCGCGTCTGATGGTGTGGGAGTTGTCTGCGAACACCACGGTCGCCGCGACTCCGAATGGTCTGATGCCAGTGATGTCATTCCAGCTCCTGACCTACAGCTTCTGCTTCTTCTTCGCCGTGCTTGGCATAAGGGGTACCGCTTCCCTTCCTGGGCAGCTCGACCTGTCTAATCAGTGTTGGCCCACGGCTGTTGAACATTCATGTTTCATACAAGCGGGCAAGCCCTAAGAACTAGACGTTCCCAACTCAGGTGCGGCCTCTGCTTGCTGAGGATGATCATGGCTCGAAGCTTTCGGGCCTGCTGCCATGTGCGGCATGGCATGTCGTGTGGAAGCGCGGAGAGCGAATCTGACTCGGAGAGCTGGAGCAGCTCAAGCTGAGTTCCAAGAGGATGCCATAATTAGCCGTGATCAGTGCCACTCTGGCTTTGCGTCGTGAGACAGGGCGACATCCTCGAAAAGCACCGAGGGGTGAGGCTAGCGGCTAGGTGAGGGGTGCCCAATCAAAGGACCATGGATTTCCAGATGCTGGGACACGGGCGGCCAAGTGCTGGTCTGCTCCGAAACCACAAGTCTAACAGTGCTTGCGGGCTCTTGTCGGCGTGGTCGCATGAATGATCGAGCTTGATGGGTTGAAGGCTGTTGAAGGCTTGCGCTGACTTTTGGATTCGAGCTTGCTTGCGTCGTGTCGATGTTAGCATTCTTCGAATGCCGAAGGGTGACCCGACCTCTTGACCCAACTCTTGAACCGGCATTAAGGGCTCAGCACATGGAAAAGGATTCACGACCACATCGTCGAACGCTGCGGGGGGATTGTCGTTGTCGCACATGCAGTAGTACAGCAATATCAACGGTAGTGCTGGTTTAAGGTTCAAGGTCAACTTGTTCTTGCAGGTCCTGCAGGCAGAACGTGTAGCCACGTGTGGAGCAGACGAAGCTCTTGATTTCTGATCTTTGGATGCTGTGGGCTTCAGGTCTGGAGTCAGTTTAGAGTTGGAGTTCTAAGCCTAGGGCTTGAGGCTTTAGTCCCAGGAAGCAGTCGGAGGGACCGACATTACGTCAGGATAAGACACGCTTGAGCTGGTGTTCGAAGAAAGATCAACCCAACACGCCTCAATTTTGCAGCATGCAGGGGGAGCTTCGGCAAGTTGCAGCAGGTATGGTTCCACTGCCATTCCTTACAGGTTTTGGCTCGGCGCCCGTTCCAAGCGCGGCTTGTCTCCGGGCCATGCTGCGGTCCAGAACCACAGAAGCAATCGACTTGCACAACTTTGTGACACCGGACCGCTGGTGTGTGACACGTCAGGACCTGGAATACCTGCAAGTCACAGTAAAATCTGCAATCCGGGAAGGCGGAATCGTGCCCCCAGAGAATGGGATGGACGACTTCCTGAGCTCGGAGAAGAAGCATGGTCCAAGCATCTACACCGTGACGGAGCAGCATATCAAGCCCGTGACAGCGCTCGCGGGCAAGATGAGCTGGGCTTTGATGCGGAATCCTAATGGCTTGGACTGCGATCTCTTCATCAGCCATGCCTGGCAGGAGGGTATCTTCGAGTTCATGTCGAAAGTCCTTCACTCCTGGCCACCGCTGATGCGCCATGCTTGGTGCTGTATGCTGGCGAACCCCCAGCACCTGGACATCTCAAGCATGCTTCAGTCTCCGCTCCACTCGCCATTTGCGATTGCACTGGAGGCTTCTGCGAACGTCTTGGTGGTGCCGAACCATCACCGGTCGATTTACACTCGGCTTTGGTGTGTGTCTTGATTGCTGGCGTGCCATACTCGATTTCGTTTTGGGGACCTGTTCTGTAAAGGAACCGTGATGATTTTTCCCTGGTTGCTTCAAAGCCCAGGCATATGAGGCTTACCTAGCCCAAGGAGAAGGCAAGACGATTCTCATAGCCAGATCTTCGAACTGGCCAGCAATTCGCCAGGCCATGCGGCGCATGTTCTTGGCAGCCATCCTGGGAATGGCTCTTGCCGTGTCTGAGTCGCAATCTTCGAGGATAGTGATACCGGTAAGAACCGTATTGAGATAAATCCTGTACGTGTTGCAACAGCCGGGGATGCAGTAGGAAATTTGTTTTCTTTAGTCACTTTAGTCCTCGCAACATTGGTGATGAGACCTGCTCTGCAACACCGTTATGGATGCCAGCTCAGTATCGGGAACAATTCAGGTGTTGGTAGATGTCCACAACTGGAATGCGGCACTGAACTTGGCGGCGCTTTGCGTGGCAGCGATTGCTGCAGCATGGAGCATAGGCACGGAAGACCACAATTGCCAGGTCTTTGTGAATTTGGTGGGTGAGACCACCGCCTGGCTCCTGGGCTTTTGGGAATACTTTTCATACTGAGTTGCTTGCTGTTTCTTCCCGAAAGCACCAAAAGCGAACGGCATAGCGATGTAGTGAGAACATTCGAGAAAGTAGCTTTCCGGTGAAACGTGAAATGCCGGAGAAACAGCACCTGTGGAAATACATTTTCCGCTGAAGGTTCCTTGTATTGAACTGGTGCACCGTGGGTTGCCCGGCAGGGAACGAGGGAGGGAGCAACGCCCAAGCCCCGAAACAGCAACCCGACCGTACACCTGCCACGTCCTGCGACCTTTTGCCGACCCTGGTTGTTAAACCCTGGGACGCTCTGCATGAATGAGTATGCTAGCATGCATACACACTTACGCACACGGACTCACACGCACCAGACCCTGCAGGCCCTACAAGCGTTAGATAGCCTTCGCACCAGACCCGGTAGGCCCTGGCGTTGGTCTTGGATTTCGATGTGGTTTTGGCAGGTTTCGGAATGCTCGATCTCCTTTTTCGAGTTGTTGGAAACGGATGGTAGGACGTCGCGCTCCGCTGAGACCCTGCTGAAGCCAGTCTTCCCTTCCAGGCAAAGAAGGTGCAGACCATGGCATCGCATATGACACCTGGCTGCTTGAACACTCTTTCTGGATCCACCTTTTTGTGGAACCATCTAGTCCGGGTGTGGGGAAGCTTCGCTGTTTCCATTCCGGTACTCTCTCAGGGTTCTTTCTATTTTCAGATGCCGGTGACCGGCAAGAAGCTACTCAAAAAAGCTCATGGCCAAGACCTAAACTAAACGACCCGGCCGGAAGAGACCCCGGAACCATGCAGCCCCAAAGTCCGCATATCACAGGCGATTTATGCAGGGCTTCAGAGGATGGAACTGCTGGCCTTTGCCAGTTCGTTCTTGCTGCTCGAGGCCAGATACTGTTGTTCTTGGAGGGCGAGGTTGAAGTGTCAGGGATTTAGGAGTTTGGGGATGTCACCCCCTCAAGCTTCCGGACTTGTCCAACACCGGTTGAAGGGTCAAGAAACCTGTCACAACACGAGTTGAGGTCTCGGCAATTTGCACGACACCTTCCGCGATGCCAAGTTTCTAAAGAAGATGCTGCAAAGGCTGATGCCACTGCTGCTGCGAATACTGCTGCTACTGCTGTTGCTGCCCTGCTACGACTACTACTGCTACTGCTACTACTACGACGACGACGACTACTTCTGCCACGACTACTACCAGTGCTACTAGTGCTACCGCTACTGCTACTACTACTACTACTACTACTACTACTACTGGATTTGCCTGACTGAATCAATGAATTAACAGGTGATGCATTGGAAAGCTTTGGTGTTCAAGCAGGTGAGAGGAGGATCTGCACGGGAAACCCATATACCTGGCGTGGGGAGGTCTTTGAAACAAGACACTGATTTACTCTGCATGGTTGTCAACGAGGATTTGACTCTGTATGGTTGTCGATGAGGGGAGTCTTGAAGCACAGACTGCATGCGTTCGGAGTGAAGTATGGGGAGAGAAGTTAGAGAGCGCGTTTCACAGATCCTTCAGAGCCAAACTAATTCGTGGTTGGTTGCGTTGGGTGTAGGTGAGTCGGCTCGTGAGGGAGGCTGTCAACTGGATGAAGTACTATGCTTGCAGATTTGTGTCTGGAGTGTTGTGCATCCTTCTTGACAGCACACGTCGAAGTGACATCTGCCTGGATGGAAACGTTAATGACCTTCTGACGACGAATCTCTTGCAGACCTTGCCAGGCTTGTCCGAGTGTGAGTGTCAAAACAAACAATTACCTATTACCTACTACCTACGTACTTCCTACTACCTACTACCTACTACCTACTATGTATTACTTACTACTACCACTACTACTGCCACTACTACTACTACTACCACCACTACTACTACTACTAATA